TATATATATTATTAAGATGACGTCCTTCTGTTAGTTAAAAAAAAATGTTAGCGTTAGTCCTTTCTTTCTTTGCTCTGATGAGTCACGAGGGATGTGGGCACCCGCTATCCCGTTCCCTACTCTTGGTTTACCTTTCACTGCTATGCTTGGATGCTTTAAACAAATCTCCGACAGGACTGTCAAACAAACAAACAAACAAACACACAAACAAACAAAAACAAACAGATTGCCGAACGAACGGATAAACACAAATATATGAACGAACGAGCAAACAAACACAGAAATAAATGAACGAACAAAAAATGGATGAACGAACAAACGAACAAACAAACAAACAAGCAAACAAACGAACCCCAAAAAAAACACAAAAACAAAACCAGGCTTACCCGTTTAGCTTTCATGATGGCCCCAATGCCCAGAGGGAAGCAACAGAAGATGGTGACGAAGACAGCCAGGGCCATTTGGTCCGGCACTTCCTGAATCACCGGCAGAGTGACCACAGCAGGCTGGTGAGTGACCACTGCCGTGTTGTTCGTGCTCTGCATGGCCTGCTGAGGAGTGTCCACAATGGTTACTACACACGTGAGTTATAGGCTACCCTGAGTGGACACTGAAGAAAAATCCATTACACCCCTCTTTGAAATGGAAACATATTTGGTCGCTTTTAAGCACAAGGAGGCTACCTCGAAAAATGCTGTTTTGAGAAAATCGAAGGTAAAGTTTATGGCCCTTGTTCAGTTTCTTTAAAAGTCAAGAAGAGTTTTCTCTATAATCAAACAATAAATATGGTCGCTTTTAAGCACAAAGGGACTACCCAAAAAAATGCTGTTTTGAGAAAATCGAAGGTAAAGTTTGTGCCCCTTGTTCAGTTTCTTTAAAAGACAAGAAGAGTTTTCTCTATAATCAAACAATAAATGGTCGCTTTTAAGCACAAGGGGGCTACCCCATAAATGCTGTTTTGAGAAAATCGAAGGCAACGATTTTGGCCCTTGTTCAGTTTTTTTAAAGCAAGGAGAGTTTTCTCTTTAACCAAACAAATATACACACCAAAGAAACCAAACTTTTCCTATAGGTAGGAAAATGCTCAATTTTGGTGTAGGTCGAGGTTTCTGGAAACTGCCGAAATCTGGGTAAGCCCACTTGACCTTAAAAGCGACCAAAAGTGGACACTGAAGAAAAGTCCATCACACCCCTCTTTGAAATGGGAGCATCTTTATTTTAGAGGGGGCCAGATTTTCCTTGTTTGTGTGGCAAAACCTACCGTGATTTTGACACAAATTGATCAAATCCTACGAAAGTCCAACTCATCTGATTTTTTCTAGGTCATTTTCATGAAAATTGGGATCAAAAGTCAACCATAAAGCTACTTCCAGTCACATGACCTTCCGGGGTCAGATTTCTTTGCACATGGGAAGCGATAGACAATAATGGACTACCGGGTAAAATGTGATGGACCAAAGTAGAGATCTATTAGATATAGCGCAAACTGGCCAGAGCAATGGGAATGGGATACCTAATTGGATCTAATCACGGAGACCACACGTACAGTTGTCCATCTGCCTTTAAGGACTTAAAAACAGTTGTCTTGTTTCGGCAAATCAAACCTAATCGTTTCCATGGGGAACAGGAGGGGCCCATCTCTACTTTCGAAGAAAGATTAAAAATTCAATCACGTCTCATTACAGTGGAAGAAAGCTCGTTCATATCTCTGGGTTGTCTGAAGGCCTATGTGTAACTCTCAGGCGATTATTTTTGAAGTTGGGGCCAAAATATAGTTCTGTTTTCATCCTTAGAAAACGGAAAATTGCTTTAAAAAACTCAAAAACAACAACAAATAAACCAAAACAAACCAAACCAAAATAAAACAAAACTGCTCAATGTGGAATTGGACCACAGTTATTCCATTTGGAACAATTGATTTGACAATTTTCCTAACACCTTCATAGCTTCATATTCGACTGAAGGTCATTTTCATGGGTAGAGTTATGCTTCTGAGGAGCGCACGGACCTAAACCGCTGTGTTTTGAGTGATTTCAAATCGTTGGCCAGGAATATGTTTTTGCAGAATGATCAACTGGTAAATGGTTATCATCTTGGCCAATTTTTGTATCCGTCTACTACCAGAAAAAGGAAAATACGTAAAAATTTCTATGGTTACCTTTGTTCTGTTTCAGTTGAAAAGGAGCGGAGCCCCCCCCCCAACAAAACAACAACAACCCAACCAACAACAAACAAACAAAAAAACAAAAAAAAACAACAACATCAAAAACAACACAAAAAAGGTAAACAAGCGAACACAACCACAGACATCGAGTCGTTGTGCCACAACTTTACTTCCCTTAAAGTTTTACACACACACAGCAAAAACAAAATCCAACCCCCCCCACCCCCGCCCCAACAAAACAAAACGAACTACAGAAAAAAAAGAGAAAATGAATAAATGAATACAATTAAATGAAGAAACAAATAACTGAAACAGAAATAAAGAGATCAGTTTGAAAAAGTAACCACGGTATCAGGCACACAGACGAAGACAAGGGACGTGAGCGAGGTCGCTACCTCAGAATTACACAGTTCTATCTGCTCAATACCTAGTTTTGAGAAATTTGACCTAAAAAATCTTGAATTTCACAATAATATTACGTCAAGCTTTATCGGATGCAGTTTTTTTGTTTTTTTGTTTGAATATCTGTATAACCACTTAGTACAATCTTACTATTTTGATAGAGCAGACAGAGCATTGATCTCTGATCTCATGGTCTTAGAGGGTCAAAACGACCAAGAATGCCAGGTTGAACTTTGTCATTCTGAGGTAACGAGGCGTACACTTACATTCGGTGGTGGGTAGTAGTGGTTGTAAAGGTAAGGGTTTCCCTAGGTGTACACTTACATGCGGCGGTGGGTACAGTGCCGGATTAACCCTTAGGCAAATAAGGCAATTGCCTTGGGGCCACTCAAAAAAATAGGCCACAAACGGGCCAGAGACAGGGTACAACAAGGCCACATTTTTTTCGGGTTTTTTCCCCGTTTTGATCAGGCCGCAGCAAAGCCAGTCAGCAAGGCCACAACTAGAATAGCCCTAGGCTAGCCCTAGCCAGAGTCCGACTGAGTTTTTAGTCACAGGCCTAGTTCAGAAAGTGCTGTGACATTTTGTTTGACCTCTCTCTAGGCCACATTATTTTCTAAAATTAAATTGAATCATTAGCAGTGGGTTCCAAATCAAACACATTTGGCCTCTAAAGTCACCAGATA